AGTATGGGAAAAGGGACTTCCAAGGCTAGGTCATCTAAAGGAACAAGTACTTTCTACCCCATTCCCTGGATTATTTTGCTCTGGAAGCCTGCAGGTGCCATGTAAAGAGTTTGTCCTGAGGTTGGCATGCTAGGAGGAAACTGCACTAGCACATAATGAAAGACTATACATGGAGAATCCTTAGAGTATATGAAAAGAGATAGAAACCAGAGAGTGAAACACACATGCACTGAGGGAGAGTGAAAGAGTGAGATAGGGCAGGATATGTGGTGACTGGACAACTCCAGCTACTCTAGCCAGTTACCCCTTTTTTTCAATCCCAGACACTATTTATTTATTTATTTAGAAAGTATCTGGCTAGTTCCCCAAGCTGGCCTGAATTCCTGGACTCAGTTCCTGAGTAGCTGGGCATTACAGGTAGGTGTGTGCCAACAACTCTTTAACAGCAACTACATGAGAAAACCTGGGCCAGAACTAAGTAGACAGAGGCACTTAAGTTGAAAGTGACAAAACTGGAATAGGAGTCTAGGAAGTCTGATTCTAGAGTCTGTATTTTAAACTATTATTTTTAATGTGTCTTTGACACATATATCAATTATTACTTGTCTAAACAAGTGTTTTCCCTTTCAATGTTGACAGAATATTTCTAGGAATATCCCCATTGGGGGACAAAGGTTTAAATGTGTAAATAAAGCATTATTGATACTATCCTGTGGTTTTACCTGAAAAAAAAAATACACCTGTCTTTCAGAGATATTTTTAATTAGATTCAAAGCATGCCAATAATTATGAAAAATACAATTTAAAAACATTATAAATATTTAGAAATTAGTTTCCATGTTGCTGATGGCTGAAGTGCACACTGATTTCTTTCCCAGTTCAGATTTTGTAATTATCTACTTCTTTACTTGTCTATTGGCTGTTTTTTTCCATAGACCTATGACTGTGGTTTACCATATGGTAAGTGTTCAATAAGCTTTTGAATAAATTAAGTGATAAATAACTATGTGAGAGAATGGCAGATGGCTTCATAAGATGAACTACATCTTGTATTTCACACTTTTTTTTTTTTTTCTGGTGCTAGGATAGAACTTAGGGTTTGGTTGCTAGACAAGAGTTCTATCACTGAGCTATAGCTCCAGACTTGTGGAATTATATCTTTTTTTTTTTTTTTCAATTTTCCACAAAATTTTCACTGACCTGAGGAACTAGGTCTTGAAGGAAAAGAATAACATCTTCTGAGTGCTTACTATCTGATAGGCACTGTTCTAAGTGCTTTTTGTATATTGAGTCATGTAAGATATAGTTATATATTATTTATTGTCTCAATAGGATAGAATTTCTAGATGTCAAGGAACATCTATTATTCTTGTTATTTTAGGGCCTAGATCAGGGGTTGGCATATCATAGGTAATCAGTAAATATTTACTGAATAAATACACAAATATCACCTGATTTGACTCCCCTACCAACTTTAAAATGCAGGTACTATTATTATCCCCATTTTTCAAACAGGAAGCTGAGGCCCAAAGAGAATAAGATTCCCAAAGTCACAGAGCTAGTCAGCCTGATTCCAGACTTCATACTTGTTATGAATTCAACTATCCTCCAGAAGGTTGTGTTGAAGTCCTAATTCCTGCTACCTGTAGATTTGACACAAATATAATACTCTTACAGTGTTTACCCAGAGTGAAAAAGAAGTAATTCCAAAAAAGAAACTGAAAAATACTCAAATAATGGCAGCAGTGTTAGAAATTTGTGCAAAATTCTTCAATCAATTTGGCCTATTTTAAAGTATAATACTTATTTGGACATCTGCTCCAGAAGTTTTGTTTAAAATGTAGTCTTGCTTATTTATAGTTTTAATGTATGTATCATGTTGTCAAATGGGACTTTGTGAAAAAAAATACATATTTTTTTTGTAGTGGAGATTGAACCAGGGGTACTTTACAACTCAGCTACACCTCTCGGCACATTTTATTTTGAGACGGATCTCACTAAGTTGCTTGCCCTTTCCCATCCTTCCACCCTGCCTCTCCATCTCCTTATTCTACATTACTGATCTTCCCTTTATCTTTATGATATCCTATTCTTCCCTCCCCCTTTCCTTTATTTTACTGTAGCTTCTGCATATGAGAGAAAACATTTGACCTTTGAGTTTCTGAGTTTGGCTTATTTCACTTAGCATGATATTTTCAATTTCCATCCATTTACCAGCAAATATCATAATTTCATTCTTATTTATGGCTTAGTACTCCATTGTGTATATATACTACAATTTTTAATTGATTTATCTATTGATGAGCACCTGAGTTAATACCATAATTTAGCTATTGTGAATTGTGCTGCTATAAACATTGAGGTGGCTATATTGCTGTAGTTTGCCAATGAAAAATCTGTTTTTTGATAAATTTTCAACTGTGCAACAAAAAACAATAGGTTCTAGTTCTGTATTTTGTGAAGTATACCCATTCTTTTTTCCCACAGTGCTAGGTATTAAATTTAGGGCAACAGGCATGATCACTAAGCACTTTACCACAGAGATACATCTCCAGCATGGATACCCACTTATCTATCTATCTGTTTGTTTATTTTTGTGGTACTAAGAATTGAAACTAGGGCCTCCATCATGGTAGACAACTGTTCTGCCACTAAGCTATACTCCAGCCCTTTTAAAATTTCATTTTCAGACAGGGTCTCACTAAATTGCCCAAGTTGGCCTGGCCTTGAACTTGCAGTCCTCCTACCTCAGCCTCCTTAGTAGCTGAGATTACAAGTGTTTGTCATCTTCAGGTTCCAGTTTTTTTTTTTTTTTTTTTTTTATACTGGAGATTGAATCCAGAGGCACTCTACCACTGAACTACATACTCAACCCTTTCTACTATTTTGATACAGAGTTTTGCTAAGTTGCTTAGGGCCTTGCTAGATTGTTGAAGCTGACCTTGGACTTGCAATCCTCCTGCCTTAGCCTCCCCAGTTGCTACGATTACAGGGATTTGCCAACATGACCAGCTCTAGCACTTATTCTTAATATTACCAGTTATGTGCAAAATAACTGCACAATCAGTTTCTTACAAGGCAAATGAAAGAAAAAGAGTATTTTTCTGGGTACAACTTGTTTCCTATGTATTTTTGGCGACAAAACCTAATCTCACAAAAGATTGAAAAATTTGGTATTCTAGTTAATATTTATGTGAGAAAACAGGTTCTTCCCAGTATTTGAAACACATATGCATATACAAAATGGCTCCTTTAGCTTACCACTCAAGATGACTGGAGATCTGTTAAGAAGAAAAGTAAACATACAGGTGAAAAATGTGAACTTTATCTGTACTAGCAGGTTTTTGTAATCTCTTTGTAATACTGGCCTGGAGAAAAGGACCATATATTCTTTGTTGATTACCATATAAATCAGCTGTAGATATTAAAACCCAGAAACAGAAGACAGGTGATATATCTAAATTTATTTAATAAGAACTTCATTATAATAAGGTTCTGTTGTACTAACATTTTTGTTTCTCCTTAAACATCTTGAGTCTGGCTTCCAGGCCTACTGTTAATCTGTTTTCGTCTCACACAAAGCACTTTTAATTGCAGTGTGCCTCAGTTAATTATGAGAGTGAGTTTGTAAAGCATACCTTCTTGTCAGATGATACAGGGTTAATTATTTATGGATTATAGAATTCACAATAAAAGGTGTCATTTAAATGGAGGGAATGTTTTTAAAGAACTTTGTGATGCCCATAAAATGTTCTCTATGAAAACAAGTGATTCTAGAAGGTTCAAAAACTAAGCCAAGAAAGCTTTTTAATGTTAGTATAGCCAAAATCCAATTATTGTACAAATTTTTCTTATAAGGTAAAGAAACATAATTGAGAACAAAAAAGGACACTGGGATTGGAAGTGTGTCTAGTTTATGGAAATACAAAACCAACAAATAATCCCCGAAACTATCTTTTGTAATATCAGTAGGTAGAGATGAAAGGTGCAGAAGCTAATCATCCTATCCACTGAAAAGAAAATCAGGGCATCAGAAAGCTTTAGTGTTTGCTGTTATTATACAGTGTTGTTGTTGGTGATGGTCAGACAAACTCTCCTTTTATGCTGACTTGGACCTGACTACTCTTCCAGTCTTTGAACCTTCAAGTATAAATATCAATAATACAGTAACAAGATTTTAGCGCTGGAAGATCATATATCCTGATGTCCTTGTTTTATCAAAGACACTGAAGCACTGAAAGATCCAGTTCCCTATGGTTATTCAGAGAGCAGTGGTTCTTGAACATCCTGGCTTCTAGAACTTGCAGGGAAATTATGCACAAGACAAATGACTATTCATTGGACCTTTGCACCCTAACACTTTTCCTGTCTTTTAAAAGCAAATAAAATTCCCATTGGATACTTTACAGAAACTGACACGGTGTCGGCTCATGCTCTCCTGTTCTCCCTTTCTCCCAGTTCCACGCAGGTTAGGCTTTTTAGGTCAAGGTTGATTCCCTCCTGCCTCAGGCCCCTGGGCATGGCTGGTATCCAGGATGGTTCTGCAGAGCGAGCTTCCCAAAGACTAGAGAGGAACACAAAGGCAGACTCTCAGGTCAGGTCTTGGTTAGTAGTCCTGTGCCCCTCCCATCTTCCAATGTGGATGGGGTTTGGCGGGCTGCCCCACCGGGGTCGCAGGGGAGCCCTGGAGAGGGGGGGAGGGGATCAGGACTGGGGACGTCCCACAGACGCGGGCCACAGGGTGGCTGGGAGCCCCTGGTGAGAGTCCTTGGGGTTTGCCCGGCCCGTGGCTACCTGCCCCCAAGTCCCTGCGGCACCGCCAGCGCCCAGCTCTTCCTCCTTCTTCTCCTCCTCCTCCTCGCACGTCCGCTGGGCTGATCTCCTGCCATGACTCAGCGCTTCTCGCAGGCCGCCCGGCCGGGCACACGGCTTCGCGCGGGCTCCTCCCGCCGCGTCCACCCCCTCTCGCCACCCACGCCCGCCCCCGGCCGCGAGGCCTTTCCCCGCGCGGCCGCCACCGTAGCCGCCGCATTCCGCGCCGGCGCCTCAGCAGCACTCGCCGCCTGCACCGCGCTCCGGCCAGACCCCACTGCCCAGCCTCGCGCCAGCCATGGAGCCCACGGCCCCCCGCCGCCGCCACACCCACCAGCGCGGCTACCTGCTGACGCGAAACCCCCACCTCAACAAGGTAAGCCTGCAGCGCCCGGTCCTTGGGTGGTCCCGCAGCAGGGCCTCGCCCTCCGAAGGCTCCTCGGGAAGACGCCGGTGGACCGCGGGGCGGTGGGCCTGGGTGCCGGCTCCGCGGACGGGAACGCCCCGCCAGGTCGAGCCGCAGGGTGTGGTGGCTGGGCGGTCCTCCGCATCCCGTCCTGGGAACCGGGGAAAACGTGTAACTTGCAACTTTCTGGCTGTTCTTCTTAAGCCCTATCCCAACCTATGGAGGTGCGAGTTGGGTGTTACCAAGAAGGTGGCAGGCGGACTGCCAGGTCAGCCACGGTGTGCCCCCCACCTCTACGGGTTCCACTCAGTGTGGCAATCCTTGGAGGCTACTGCGGATCCAGGCTGGTCTGGCCTGGATCGAAATGAGATCTGAGTGCCTTGGATCACATTAAGCATCTAGATTCCAAGGCCTCTCCGTTTCTGGAGTGACATGGTTCTGAGTCTGGGAATGCCTGATGGGTGGCTTCTGCTTTGGAACCTTGGCAGGGCATGGCTTGATAGAAAAGCCCTTCCTAGCAGGGGGCTTGGTTGAAGCCATTCCTTTTTAAAAATTTTCTTTCTTTTAAAATTTCTTCTTCTTCTTTATTTTATTTTATTTTATTTTCCAAATCAAGCCTTTTGGGAGTTTATTTATTTATTTATTTTTAAATAAGACTTTGTCATGCTCTATTCAGAGGCTTCAAATCCTGTTAACATTTCCTTTTTCTTCACTGGTAATGTAGTATAAACACCTAAGATAACTCTTAAATGAAAGTAACTCAGAATTGATCATTTCCATACTCAGCAGTCACATTGTTATTTGATAGCCAGGTTTGTCTGGATTTTTCCTTTTGTATTTGTATGTGTGTAGTTCTGACATTTCCTATTTATTCGGTACATTGAAAATACCATGGGTCAGCACCGGAGGTCTGTGTAATTATTTTGGTTGTCTCTTTGTAGAATACCCTTCTTCCTTAAGAATTGGACCTCAGCTTTAACCCCCAGTCATGTTGCTGGCAATTTGTTGATCACTACTATGTCTTAAAGACTTGTGATTTATTTAATAAATTATAGTGAGTTTTTTTTAATTTTTGTGGTGTCAGGCAATTTTTTCAAATCTATGATTGTTTAGTATTTATGTTCATATAGTATGACATTTAAAATGATTTCTGTTTATTTTTTTCTTCAAAACAAACTTTCCAGTTTGATTCTTTTTCCTTTTTTTATTATTCTGCAGGTTGGGGCCTATTTTCAGTAGAACAAAGGTAAAATTTGATGTGACAAAACAATTTATGCCTTTCATGTGTTACCTACCTGCCTGTTGAAATTTATGACCAAATTATGGGTTGACACTTAACAAGACCACATTAAGTAACATAACCTGTTTTATTTTCTTGAAGTCCTGGATGAGAGTGTCTGTTAAGACTAGGTGAAATAAGCAATCCCAAGCAAGAGTAATTATGCCTTTACTATGTTTTTGTTAGGAATTTATGATATTAAAACCATTTGACTCCTGTTTTCCTGTAATAGTACTTACTTCAGAATTGTATTATCACAAAGAACTCCCACAAAAGGTAAAAAGGTGCAGCATTAATATATTAAGAACACATTTTGGGGGAGAGAAAGGGGAAATACTGGGGAATGACATTGCTAAATTATATTGTTATATTGTGTGCATATATGAATATGTAACGACATATCCCACCATTATGTACAACAATAATGCATGAATAAAAAAATGGGAAAAAATAAAAATATGAAGAGAGGAAGTCGTAGTGTACAAAAACAATAAAATCAGTAAATCAAGTTTTCCAAAAGATTATATGGTTTATAACAGTCATATAAATGTCAGAAATAAACATTGTTTTGAGGATTACAAGTAAAATGCTTTCATCAGTATCTGGCAGACAGTTGGCTCTTATCATTTCAAAGAAATATATTAATAATCTAAAAAAAGGACACATTTTTAAAATTTATAGTGGAAGTTTTGCTATCTGTGTTATGTCAAGTTGGACTCAAAATCTAGTTCACCAGCTTTGGGGCAATTAATATAACAAGATTTATACCTTTCATTCAGTCCCAAGACATTGATGTGGTGCCTTATGGAAGTAATGGTATTTCCTTACATGTACCATTGAAACCAGAGAAATGGCACCTTCTTGATTTTTCCATACACTCAAGACGCCTTCAAGTTTGTTTGTAGTCCAGAAACTATTTTTTTYCCCCTTTTTTTTGGTGCTGACTTTTTTCAAAGAGACACTATCCCTGAGCATTGTAACTTTCCTCTAACAGTCCAGCCTGGTACTTAGATATGGAAAGGCTTCTTCAACCAAATCAACACAGATCTTCATCACTGTACATTGGTAACAGTGATTTTTCTGGTTTTATTTCCATTATCATGGTCTGCCCATATAGGTATGGAAGAATTATGAACATTAGTTAGCATTTTTTTCACATTTTCCTTCTGTTATCCAAGTATTCCTAATATGTTATTATGTCCTATTATGTTGAATGTAAAGTCAGTCTATCAATTTGTTTTACTGTCTTCTCCAAATTAATCTCATTAATTTCCCAACATAGCCTTCTATTTAAAATATATTTGCTGATTCTCTCAATTCTTTCCTTTTTATGTGTAATTCCTATAATTAAAAAGTCATTAGTTAATTGATAATGATTTCTTTTAAGAAACCTTTCCTAATTATTTTAGTCCTATTGTCATGTAACACTTTTGTACTAAATAATTTTGTATTTACTGAATTCTTATTTTTTTCTAGTTCATTTATTTTGATTGTCACAGAGCAGGGATTATAATATTTAGTAGAATATTATGTTCAGTGGACATTAAATAAATACTTAAGAAATGAATGAGCCATGCTTTTATTTCTTTTTGTCTTTAAACACTACTTAGCTTTTAAAGCAGGTGGCTTTTTAAGTTTGCATATTATCCTAAGATAAATATCCTTGTTAATATAATTTTTTAATCCAATCTGCTAGTTTGTGTCTTTTGATTGGTGAGTTTAGGCCATTAACATTCAGGGTTATTATGGAGACATGATTTGTATTCACAGCCATTTTTGTTTATTTTTGGAACTTGACTTGGTTTCTCCTCTGAGTAGTTTTTCCTTTTAGTGTAATACCTCCCTCTGCTGATTTTCATCTTTGTTTTTCATTTCCTCTTCATGGAATATTTTACCGAGGATGTTCTGTAGTGCAGGTTTTCGAGTTGTAAATTCTTTTGTTTATCATGGAAGGTTTTTATTTCATCATCAAATCTAAAGCTTAATTTTGCTGTTATCAGATTCTTGGTTGGCATCCATGTTTTTTCAGAGCTCGGTATATGTTGTTCCATGATCTCCTGGCTTTGAGTGTCTGGGTTGAAAAACTTGCTGAGATTCGAATTGGTCTATCCCTATATGTGATCTTATTCCTCTCTCTTGTGGCTTTTAAGATTCTATCCTTATTCTGTATGCTAGGCATTTTCATTATAAAGTGTCTTGGTGTAGATCTGTTGTAATTTTGTACATTTGGTATCCTGTAAGTCTCTTGTATTTGGTTTTCCAGTTCATTCTTCATGCTTGGGAAATTTTCTGATATTATCTCATTGAAGAGATTGTGCATTCCTTTGGTTTGAAACTCTGTGCCTTCCTATATCCTAATAACTCTTATATTTGGTCTTTTGATGCTGTCCCATAATTCTTGGATGTCCTGTTCATGGTTTCTTACTATATTCACTGTGTGGTCAACTTTATTTTCCAGATTGTATACTTTGTCTTCATTATCTGACGTTCTTTCTTCCAAGTGATCTAGTCTGTTGGTTACACTTTCTATTGTGTTTTTTATTTGGTTTATTGTTTTCTTCATCTCAGTGATTTCTGACTTTTTTTTTTTTTTAAGAGTCTCTGTCTCTTTCTTGAAGTTATTTTTGGCTACCTGTATTTGTTCTCTTATCTATTTGTTGGAGTGATCAATTTTTGCCTGTATTTGCTCATTCTTTAATTCACAGATCTTAATTATGAACCTTCTGAACTCCTTCTCTGACATTTTATCAACTTTGCTGTCCATGGGTTCTGTTATTGTAATATCCTGGTTTGTTTGGGACACTTTCCTCCCTTGTTTTTTCATGTTGTCTATGTATTTTCCTTTCTTGCAGTGTGGATCTGAGATATTACAGTTTCTACCCTATATTCTTGTAGTACCTGTGCAGATTGTCTGTACCTCACCTTGATGTTGGGCTTCCGGACCCTGCTGGTGTCCCTCAATGTATGCTACTGCAACTAATGGTGGTGGCAGCAATAGCCGAGCTAACTTGAGATAATAGTGGAGGTGTCCCAATATGGACGGAATATCTTACAGAGGTGGGCCTGAAAGGGTGAGCCTTACACTGTCTTTGGGATGCCTGCTCTGAGATGCAGCTGCTTCTAGGCCCTGCCTATTATCAGAAACGTATGGGGCTACTTTGTGGGGAAGGCTATGGCAATGTCTGCAGTGTTCCAAGATGGAAGTGGGTTAGGCTTGGGCTCCCGGGTGCCAGGATATGGGAGGGACTGGTGAACTCAAACCTACCCTGGGCCTGAGTCCTGTGTATGTTGGTGTGGGTGGATCTGGGCCGGGCCTGAGCTCCCATGGTGGTCTTCTGGTCGGAAGAGGTGGTCCTGTGCTGGAGCCTGAGCTCTGTAGGTGTCTGCCAGTGGTGGGATGGACCCGGGTCTGGGTCCCCAATGATAGTGTTTTATCAATGTTAATTTTGGTCAGCATTAACATATAAAAAATGAGCTTCTCAGAAGTGCTTGGGTAGCCATTTACTTCTTGGCATATCAAGACCTAGTTGGGTGTGTTGTGGGGAAGAGAGAATGTATCTGATGATTATTAAGGAAAAGTTCTCTTTTTGTTTAGTGTAAACCATACCATAATTTAGAAATTTTCACCTGCTACCTTTCTCTGGAGTTGCCTCAGCAATATGAGAAACTGATTTATTATTTAACAGGAAAT